ATATATATAGAAGAAGATATTAGAACTAGACAATAGGTAGTACAACGTTGTAACTCCTGTTCAAAAATGTCTAATACAACTTTGGCATAAAATCATCTGAGGAGATAATATTTTACATTTTCAAAATATACATGGGATTTCCTATGTCCCATGTTTCGATGCACCACACGGTATAAGATATTTACCCCAATTTGTCAGTAACAAGATAAATTTATTTTTACAAAAATAATAAAAGATAACAAAACTTTATTAACTAAGCGGGATTAAACTTGTATGTTTTACGGTTTACTTTAATTTAGAAAATTGTTTTTCTTTTTGGTATTAAGAAATTTATATTTATAAACTTTTTCCTTTCATCCACAATCATTATTAAATTTATTGTCTTTCAGTGGGCATTTCAACCAAACAATAAAAGAAATACGTTTTCAGCATTAAATTTTGTTCAAATACCATATTGAGTTATTGTAACTTTTGTCTTTTTTAAATGTATAGAAAATAAATTGACTAATGAAAACAATAAAGTAACAAAACAAACTCAAGCTTTTGTAAAGCTTTGTAAGTCAAATACAACAGGGTCATATATAAATATTACTTTTATCAAATAACAAAATTATCAATAATTGATACGTATATTGAATATGATATTACATAAATAAAATAAGCAATATTAGAAAAGCATTGATTGATGACTATGTTGAAGTGTCTAGCCCTAGCACGCAACTATTAAGCTTGACCAATCAGGTTGGTTAGCGTGGTTATTTGAAGGGTGTTAATTGATTTGTGTTTGTCAAAAACTCTAACGTGATTGGTCGGGCTTAATAGTTGCATGCTAGGGCTAGACACAAGTCGACTATGTGACATTTATTATCGTTAGTTTTTTTAGAATTTTTGATGTGTTTGTAGTTTGTCCAGGGTTTTTTTTAATTAAAGAAGTGTAACTTACAGTAACTGTAGTTTTAGTTGAGGCGGTATCAATTTGTCGTCCAGTAACTCCTAGTAAAAACTCCAGTAAAATTGTGGTGTCATTTTGAAAGTCGATAGTATTGTTGACTTGAGATGCTAAATCAAATGCATAATCCCTTGCGCTAATATCTTGCATGTAACTGAATATACTTAAAGGACTGCCACTTTGCAAAATACCTCCTCTAAATAAACCTTAAGTAAAATAATATTATGATAATTTAAGTTTCATTCAGAACCTCGCACTTAGTGGAATAAATTAGTGGTTTCAATTACACTTTACACTTTTTAATGTACGATCATTCACAATATCTAAAAAACACAATTAAGATTAATAGAATATCCTAGCAACAGCTTGCGGTAGTCAGTTTGTTCCATAGAAAAAGCTTAATATTTAGCTTATAAAACAATCAACTTTTGACTTCTAACCAAAATTTCTCTTGACGGCTGATGTAATCATAGGCCAAAAATGATATTCTGACAAATTTGGAAGTATAATAAGTGGAAAAGTTAAAAGTTAGTTAATTTTGACGTTCTAAATGCTTACATTGAAATTAAAGGAACAAACGTAATAACAATAACGTCTACGCTAATTGAAACCACTAATTTATTCCAATAATTACGGGGTTCTGAATGATGCTTTAGTCTTTTTTACTAACAAAACATCTACTAACTATTAATGTTAAAATATAGACAAACTAATTATATTAGTTAATCAAATACGGGACTAAAACATTAGACTTTTTTATAGTCACAAGAAATAAGTTGTATAAGTTTGACAACTCTACCGGTTGTGTCTCAAAAGTGGTTTTATTTTTTGATAAAAAACCGAGATTTTGTATGTTGGTACATGACATAAATTACAATTGATTGACGTATTCGGTTGTTTTTGATCACTTTTCTGTTTCGACGGAAATTATTACAACTTTTGACATTTTCGCATATGCTTCATTTAACATGCGGTTTATAACGACAATTTGACTCGAGATACCAAGTGTATAGTACCAAATTATTCGTAAAATGCTTTCAATATGCTAATGAGCCACCCTTCTTCCATTTGAAAAAAATTAAGATATGCTTAAAAATACGATTTGAGCATCTTTTACATCTTAAACATTAGACGATGAAATCTATTTTTCCATGGTTCCTTAATTAAAAATTGAGTGTTTTTAACACAGTCTTAGCACTCTAGATTAAAAATTTGTTTCTTTAGCACTCGAGATAATAACGTTTGAATACGACAATCAATCCTAATTTATTTCATATATTAACATACCAAATCTCGTTTTTATCACAAAAATGTAAGAAAAGTTATAGGGGTGAGCCACTTTTGAGACGCACCCAGTATAAGTTGAATTATTACCTGTATAAGCATAAAGATAATATACATAAATTCAAAAGTTTTGTATCACCCTGAATATTCAAAAATAAACTTTCTTTTGTCAAGACTAGACTACAGACTAATTAATTCACAATTTTATTGAAAAATTGGTAATCACTCAGTGAATTGGTCAGCCACAAATCTTTGAGAGAGAATGACCTTCTTCAAGCAGAGTTACTATTCTTGCATTGTCAGTCTCACTTATTATGACAAGACGATTCATTTTCACACTCTAAATCGTGAAATTTGACTGGCTTTGCCATAATCACACTGAAAAGGCTGAATCGGATATCCTTGGAGTAAACATTTTTTACTACAAATATGATTTACATTGATAAATATTGACAAGCAAGCAGATAAACAATTATTTTCCTCGAAAAATTCTATCACATTAAAATAGAGTGATTTTTTTTGTACGAAGCAAAATTTTTTAATATATGTTTATGTTGGTGGCAGATGCCGAGAATTAGACATATGCCGATTGTAATTAAATATACCTACCTATATCCACAAAGTTACGCGGAAGAGTTTTGATTGCATTGATTTCAACTTCTATACAGAGGGTGTTAATCTTTTGTTATTATATTATATTAAAAAAAGATTAACCCCCTGGCAAATTTAGAATGGACAAATCGCCATATGTCTAATTATTTTGGACATTGGCCGAAATTCGGCATCTGCCTCCAACATGTATATGAGTTGAATTACTGTATGAGAATGGAAAATAATACTAAAAATTACCTTCGTTTTTCTTGTACAGTAACTGGTATCCTACTGAAGATCCTCCAGCACTTTGACCAAAAATAACAACTTTTTCTGAATCACCTCCAAATAAGTTTATGTTGTCATGAACCCACTGAAGTGCAAATGCTTGATCTTTTAGGCCAGCATTCCCTGATACCAGACCATCTTCTGTGGCCAAAAATCCAAATGGACCTTGAATTTAAAACTTTAGACAATAAAAAATAAATTCAAAAACGTACTGCCTAGAACGGATTAATTTAAGAAGAAATCGTAATCATCTTTTTTATTTTGTGAAACGTAATAATCTTTTTTATTAATCATTCATAGGACAAATTAACGCTCTGAAGGTAAATTTTAACTAAACTAGTGTTTCTGTATGCCCGGATTAAGGTACTCGGTCAGCAGATGTCACTGTCAGGTATAAGTTCATAATCAGGTCAAATTCTTTGGTCAAATCATAGATAAAAGACTTATACTATTAAATAGATAGGCAACTTATAATACATTTCAATTTTATTATACAAGGGCGCCTCTGGTAGACGGAGGAAGAAATACTAATGGAAGAGAGGAGTGCGGGGAAGGGGGGTTGTTTTAGTTAATTAAAAATAAATTTAGACATACATGTAAGAACACTTT